GCTTTGGGAGGAACAGTTGGTGAAAGGGCTGGAGGGAGGCAGCATGTCTGGCCTTGCAGTAATAGGCCTTGGGTTACTGCTGGTAATCCTGTCTTCCTCTCGTGGGATTACAGGAGGTCAGAACATGTGGCCTCCTTGCCGTTTTTACAATTCCTTTCTTTTTTTTCCATAGTTATTCACTGTGCCCTATAAATTCTAGCTCCTAAATTTCTCTCTAATTTACACCCTCCTCTCCATTTTCATCTGAGGTACTAAAGGAAATTTCTAACTCACCTCTTTTAACTATATGCTATTCTGCTCATATTAACTACCTAACTATTTTTTAAAGCCAAAGCAAAATAAATAAATGTTTTCTATCGATAACAATACTTCAAATGAAGGAGCTCTGGAAGCATAGTGCCTAAGGCATTTGACTACTAACCAGAAGGCTGGTGGTTCAAACCCACCAGCCACTTCTCGGAAGGAAGGTTGGGCAATCCTACTTCTGTAGTGATACTGCCTTGGAAACCCAAGGAGGGGTCACTGTGAGTCGGGGTCGACTTGATGGCACATAACAACAACATCGATAACAACACTTCAAATGATTATAAAATATTTAAGAAATCAAAAAAAGTATAAATAAAAATCCTAAAATTCTTCTACCAGAGAAAATCAGATAACATTTTAGAGCATATTCCTTAATATATCTCTTTATGAATATGCGAACCTACGCAGTTTTACATAAAATGGGATGATATTGTAAATAATGTTCTTCAGTCTTATTATTTTCCACTCACAAATACATCTTTAATACATTTCCACCTCATCTTTTTTAAAATGGCTGCGTGATTTTTAAGTGTATTGACTACATATTATAATATAGTCAGTCACTATATTTACTTATAAACAATATTTCAATGAGCATTTCTCTGCTTATATCTTTATAAACTTGTATGATAATCTTTTAACAATGTCCTTCCATACTTACTTTATTAAGGGGAATGGATGCCATTTTGGTTTCTTCCCAAATACTCATTTTTTTTCCCATCCTTTAATCTTTCAAAATAGAGGATAACGTGTGTATGTATATATATACATATATATATATACATATATATATATACATACATATACATATACATATACATATACATATACATATATATATGGGAGCTCTGGTAGCATAGTGGCTAAGACACTTGCCTGCTAACCAGACAGCTGGCGGTTCAAACCCACCAGCCACTCCTCGGAA